GTGCTAATGACATGAAATTTTCACCAGATGTTGGTAACAACCCAAGTGATCCATACATACAGGTTAGGTTATTACAAATAACTTCATTTCTGGACATTTATGGTTTGATTTCTTTGTATGTATGGATCACTTGGGTTGTTACCAACATCTGGTGAAAATTTCATGTCATTAGCACCTCTAGTAATATATTTACTGAGAAAAATGGTGACGTGTTCAATACTTGTTTTACCTGCTGTATGTTCAAGCCATTTACCATTATAAGAATTAATTTCTTTAATTTATGGAATAAATCTTAACTTATTTGGGTTTTTATGTTTACCTGTGATGTGCATGACTCTGCATGTTGGAAAAAAACAATTGTTACATTTTTTTAGGATGCAGGGTTGCTTTGATGCCATCGAGAAGAAATATGTAAGTCACATTTAATCTTTTTTTTTTCTGAGAACATTTGTAATAAAATTGTGAAATGTGTGTGTTCAAGCACCGACTAATCGGGACAAACTGCATTTTAATATTTTTTCCCCCCACAGCTGCGGACTGTTATAATGTCTGTGAGTATAGCTAACAATTATTTACATTACATCAGATATACAGTAGGTGCTGTGGAAAGTGACAATGGCAAATTTAAGGGATATTTTATTATTTTTATTTTTCTTGTAGATTTATACAGACCCAAAGAACCCACAGGTAGTGTTCAAACTATTACCTATACATATTAAAGTAAATAAATATATATGCAGCATATATATTTGAACTAATCCTTTCTTCTATTTCAGAACGTGACTGAGTGTTACCAGTTTAGGATCCAGTACACTACAGATGGAGCACATGTGGATTTTGAAAGGTATTTTTCATGTTTCATTTTTGGTTTACATCAAAAGTAAAGAAGGAAACATAAAAAAGCAATTGAACGACACATTTAAGAAGCTCTGCCATGATGGTTTGTGTTTTTTTTTTTAATCCTTTCTATTTTTTCTGTTCAGCAACAACAACCAGAAGTTGTCAACAATGTCATTTGGAAACACTAAGAAAGCCAGCATCCTGCTGGTGAGGAAGCTCTACACTCTGATGCAGAATCTGGGGACACTGCCAGAAAATATCTGCCTCAACATGAAGCTGGCATACTATGATGATAGTAAGACAAACACAAACAATATTTTCTTTCTGTTACACTTAGAACTTTGATTTAACCTTTTCCTCAAGATGCATTCAACGTTTTACACATAGCTGATGTTTAAAGTTGCTGGTTTGCCATTTCCCCCCAGTTTTTTTATTTCACGGTTTAATTTATTTTTGTGTCCATGGTTTTAATTTTTTTTATGTTTTATTTTTTCCCAGTCACTCCTCCTGACTACCAGCCGCCGGGCTTTAGGGAGGCTGACGGCGACATAATGGAGTTTGAGCAAGAACCAGTCAGACTGTCCATGGGAGAGGTGGCCACCCCATTTCACTGCGTTAAGTTTGACATGATCACAGAGAAACAGAGACTGGAGCGGGTGAATTTAAATAGAAACGTTCAAAATCACATTACTGTCTGCACCGAATTATTTTAAAAGCTTTTGTTTTATTTGTGAAAAATACTCATGTTCATTTAAGTTTCCTGCAGACGGTGCTTCACTGCTTTGTTTTGCTGTCTGCAGGTAGAGGAAAGTGTTTCTGTGAAGCAAAAGTGGGTTCTGAAGATTGAGGATGATGTCATAACGCAGGTCTGTAAAAACTCAGACATTAAGTTTTTTTTAGTGTGCAGAGTAAATGGGTTTTGAAGTTTTTGTAACTTTTTTAATTACTTTTTTATGCAAACATTTCAGTATAGTCTAATTTAATTCCCAGTTCAAAGAGCCTTCTAACTAACTAATTAACACACTGCTGCCTCATCTGACTGTTTTTCTGTGACAGTATCTGTTAGAAATTTCTTTGCCTCTTGAGAGAATAGACACGTGACCAGAGAGTGTCAGTTGCTTAATAGTTGGCAGCCCTGTTAAACAAGCTTTCACAACAGTTCATTGTTGTAGGCTGTGTTCTATTGACATGTTCAGATAACATGCCTTCCTGTTTAGGGTACAGTTCCCAAACAGGTGGAGAAATCTGACGACAACAACACAGGCCTGGATAACACCGGTAATTATCTAAAGTAACATCTTGAGTTTGGCCTGGTTTTTTTTTTTATGCACTAAAATGTGATTCTAATGCATACACGAAACGTGAAAAGGTGTGCGACGTATCCCACTTTATTCATATCTGCAAAAACTGCTGCAAACTCTGATTTAAAAACTGAACTAATCAGTGATGTTCATTCACCCTTTTTTATTTTGCATTAAAAAACACAGCTATAACTTAAAACTTGCAAGTGACCAGCAATTCAAGAGTTAAATCTTCTTCCCCAGATGTAAATTTGACTCTGATTTCTGGTAGAAATTCAAGCAAAATGTTCAAGTCAAGCTTTATTTTGCAGTTAATCAGTCAAGTGCGCCCACGAGAAAGTGAAAACCTGATTGATAAAATGAATTTTTCATTATTTTAATCCATCCTTTAAAGAATTTACCTTGTCGATATTTATTTATTATTTACTTCATGCGTAAGTAATTGTTTTTTCCCTGCAATTATTCAACATTTACAACAATTTTACAAATTTTAGTGTGTTTTACATGTCAAAATATTAAGCTGTAAAATAAAATAGTTCAATGTTAAATCTTTTTTTTACTACAAATTAAAACATAAAAAATGAACATCCTACAATGAGAATACACATTTTCCCACACATTATGTTTTTTTTTTTAATTATAGTGGCTGAAACTGTTTTCTTTTTGTGAATTCAGAGGTCCAGATGAGCTGTGATGAGAAGGATGGAACCTGTGAGAAAGTCACAAAGGTTTGTGACACACACATATGCTGCCTGCAACACTTTGTGGGCAATAAAGAACTTGCTGTGCATAAGACTTTAAGGTTGAGTTATTGTTAATTATCTTTTGTCAGATGAAAACTTTGGTGAAGGAAAAATCTGACATGGACGTGAGCATTAAAAGGACCAGGAGCGGACGGATAATCAAGTCAACAACGGTCAGTTAACCATTTTAAACTCTGCTTTAACTTCTCACTTCAACAGCTTCAAATCTTTTTAAGTTGGCAAAAAAATCCCAATTAATGACACCCACTTCACCTGCCAGTGGTATTAATGTTCCGTGTGACTTGGGTACCTCAAAATCCAACAATATCCTTTTTAAAATGTTTATTATTTTAAATGTGATTTGTACAAATTCAAATAGATTTCAAAAGGTTTAAAATAATGTTTGTGTGTGGGCAGGAAGCAAACCTGACTGTGAACAGCAAGCTGGCAGAGACAGTGAAGGAAAAGATGGTAATAAACTCCATGAATCATTTTAAAAACTCTGACTTGATGCAAAGAAATGTCTGTTATCATGACTGAAAAATTGTAAAAGTAGTTGGTAACTAAAAAACTTTAACGTAAGGCTCTTTGTGGCACATTTAGGCATTACTGTATACTTGCATTTTTTTACATGTTAAAAAATGGTATCGATAAATTGAAGCTCCAAATTATTATCTATGTAGTTGTTAAATTTAATTTGTTTGTCTTCACCTAAGCTATAATATCAATATAAAAATGAAAAAAAAAAAAAAGTCCATTTGATTATTGGTAAAGCAGCTGAGCCTTAACTTGGATGAAGATGTCATGTTCAGATCTAGGCTTATCTTTGAAGTGGAAAATGCGTAGGAACCTGGTTTGTTTCCCCGATGAGTCAGCTCCGATCGCTGTGCTTTCTCAGAGTGGGATGTTAAGGTTCTCTAAATGTCAACGGCACGATTCTTCTGCTGTTTTCAGGTTTCTCAGTACGAGATCCTCAGCAGTCAGGAGTCGTCAGCCTCTGTAGCCAAGAAGAAGCGCAAAGTCAGCGAGCCTAAAGATCACTGTTGACCTCTCTGCTCTCAAAGCAGTGTCCCTTTGTTGTTCCAGGTTTTAGGTTTGTAATACTTTTCATTGTAAGCAAGTAATGCAGTTTATAGTTTTAAAAGAAAAAACAATTTGAAGTCTGGACAAATAGTTTAAAGCTTTGTTCAGTTCAGTTTATTTGACTGACATACAGGTTTAAAATATTTTTCAACAATTTTAATATTCTTTGACAAAACTGTGCTGCAGTTTCTGTGTTTGTTATCATTCTTCATTAAAGCTAGCACACGTATTTCATTAAAATATACACGTTTTTTTTCTGAATGCGATTTTGGCAACTTTTGACTGGAAGAAAGAAAGTGAATCTTATGTTTTAGTCTTCCCGTCATAGTTGCTGACTTACAGCTAGATATTTTGAAAGATTTGCCAACTTTAAATAGACATTATTTAAACACAAATTGCAGTGGTTCATTTGTTAAATGTAATTGTGTTTTAGGACCCATATTTTTAAAATGTGCTGAAATAGAGAGATGAAATTCAGTTCTTGAGGCCATACGAAACAGTTTTTTTTTTCTTTATTTGGAAAAATAAATGTTTATTTTAACTTTGTTTCTGTAAAAGTGGTGTAGAGGGAAAAAAATGTTTCTCAAATGTCACCATTTGCATGTGTGGTGTCTTAAATAAAGCTGTTAAGTGAAAGTGGATTATATCTGTACACTGTGACCTTTGGGCCCAGATAAAGGCCCATCAGCAGCCTCCCGCCCAGCAAGCTGTGTGTTTTAATCTCCTATTGTTTTTCCCAGAGAGAGGGACATTTGCTGATAGACTGCCTTAACCCACTGCAGATCAATACTGCAGGAAGCCTTTGTGATGCATATCCAAGCAGCACCCCCTCCACATGTTTGCAGCAGGCCAGAAGGGTGAAAGAGACTCCATCAAATCAGTCCTCACTTCCTAGCAGCGGTTCCGTTGGTCATCACATTTATTTCATAGTGTGCAGGTTTTTTATGATAACAGAGAGGCATAAAGCAGAGCGGTGTAGGAAATCCGTGGTGGACACTCACCGGTGCAGTGACGCTCTTTATGAGCTGTGAAATGATCAGGGTTACCCAACCTCACAGCCTGACTTCAGTGGCATTTTTCAGCACATTCTATTAATTTAACAGCAGAGGCTTCAGAGTATTGATAGAGGCAGTGATGTTTAAGGTTCCTTTGTAGGTAACGCATTAGTTGAACCCATCTTCCTATCAATATTGCATTGCAAAAATTTTGTATTAGTTTCCAAATGGCAAAATGTGTGTAATTGGAAAATATTACACAAAAGTATGCATAAGAAATGCTGTACTGTGGTACAGAAAAAAAAATTAACCACCAGGGAATAGGACAACTTTGATTACCGTTTTTGTTGGAAAAACTGGAAACAGCACAAGAAAAATCAGTGTTCCTGTCAAGCACGTTACAAATACCCAACGATTGCAAGAGAAAAGAAATCATTGTTGTACTTCGCCTCCACCCACAATCCTTGACTTGGATCTCGGGACTCTTCATCATTTCTGTGCGCGCACGTCTCCTAGAAATGAATTCTGAAATTAAATTCAGGGACACACATCCAGCGGCCAGTGTTAACAGATCAATCAGCTGGTCAAACAGCAGGAGGGACCGTCCTGACGCCTCTGCAGACCAATCGCTGATCTGGGTTCGGCCTGTCTGAGTCGATATCGCTGCTCAGGGCCTGCCTCAGTATGTTCAAGGCAAGACACACTGACAGGCTGATGGACAGACAGACGGAATCCATCCCAGGGCTCCTTATAGATTAAAGCCAGCTTCTGTGCGCCTATAGTTGTGGTGCGATGATTGTGCCTGCAGGGCCTATAGGGCCCAAGGGGAGAGTTGGACTGTACAGTTGGAGGGGGAGGAGCTAGGAGTGGAGTGGACATCCAGCCCAAAGACCGTGACCCCTTTGACCTTGCCAGAAGGCCAGCAAATGTTTCCGAGCTGATTAGCGTTTCCCCAGCAGAGTACTCAGCTCGCTGTTACCCTTTGGAAATAGGTAGTGGGCAGAGGCGTTGGAGGAAATCCAGTAAAAATGTCATTCAGATCATTTCTGGGAAAAGAGATATGGTCAAAAGAAACAAAAAGGTCAAATTTAAAAAGAGTCTTCATACAAATTTTTTTTGCACTGCATTGTTTTTAAAATAGGTTTGCTGTTATAAAACACTGGACAATTCTTTAGGAATTTTCTTTGTGTTCTACTGTACACTTTCTTTTTTAGGGCATCTTATTAGGGAATTCTACAGTTTTAATTCTAATGCACCTAAAGACTGATTTCCACCATAATATTTACATTGTTTAAAGTTGTAAAGCTACTGATGGTAGCACAATCTCTTCTTGTAATAACTTTGACAATACAAGTTTTTAATTAAGGCAATTATGTAATAAATTAGTCCATTAAAAACAAAATTTGTTTTAAAGTAAAAAATAAGGACAATGGAACAACTATTAAGAACGCATGGGCTGTGAACTACAAAAAGGCAAGCATTTAATAAAATAAAATGTGACGTGATTTTACTGAATTCATCAGAAAATATTTAATGGGAAAGAATATAAATCTTTTATGATGGTTAAAGCCAACTTATTTAAAATCTTATAAGACTTGTGAATTTCTGTAATTATTGCAGTGCTTTTAACTTTGTGTTGCCGGTTCTGATTTCTGCTGTCAGTTTACATGTTAATAATTTGATAACCACATTTAGGTAGAAGGAAGAAATCAAATAAGGTGGACAACCACAAGGGGGCGATAAGAAGCCACAGATCAGCCAACATGAAGAACCACTGTTACTTTTCTCCATAAAGCATCTTCTTTTTTTATTCATGCCTCAGTCAGCTCTTACAGTTGGCCTTCATACGGTGCAAGCTTTTTTAAAGCATGCGTTGCCATCGAACAGCCAAAACAAGGCCGTTCAGCCTATTGTGTTTTAAGAGACACTGCAGTGGAGTCAACAATATTGATCAGAATACAGAATGATATAGGGAGGCTGAGAGCAGGTGGTAGTGGGCCAGCAGATTCAGGGATTTAGTCGCTCACCATGGACAGTGCTGTTGAGCGGAGAGGTGACTAACACCTTCTTGAAACAGATGCTCAAAGCAATGGGATGTGCCCCCATTGTGATCAGAGTGGACAGCTGAATTGTTTGCCACCAAGTACCCCTTTCTTCAGCAGAAGGCCCGCACACAATGGGGCCCCTACCTCACTTAGACACTGAAGATTTCTGCAGGGGAGGGTGAGTGAGGGGTGAGTAGTTCTTGGATGCCGAGTAATAGGGAGTTTGTCGGGTGAGCCGCTGCCTGTACACCCTTTTTTCTTTCTCTGTGCTCAGATGGACCTCTATACACCCCCCATCCCCGCTACAAAGACCCCATAAAACTACCGCAGGGCAGGGGTTTAAATGTCACGCTTGGCCATCAGAGCGCCCAGCCCCCGGCTCGTGTCTCATGGGGGTAGCACGCCAAGAGACAGGGTGAGGGAGAGCAGAAAGCTAAGGGGAGGGAGACACTTGCCCCTGCCCTATTGTCCATAACGATAGGCATGTGCTGCTAACTGACTCCAAATCAAGTGTATCCTCTCACCACGCGCCCAAGCCTTGTCCTGCTTCTGCTCAAACACAAAAGACTCTGTGTTTTCATTTTTTTCAACCATCCATAGGTGAATAGCAGCTTTGGTCACAGTATGTTTGACAGATCAGCTTAAAGCAGGCTGCAGAGTCTAAATTCAGCTGGCCACCAAGCTGGGTAATAAATACAGTTTGTCATCTCGTGATCCTTCCACGCTGCACTCTGGTGAACTCTTACGTGACAAAAATCGATGGTAACTTTTTGCGTTCATTCACATAAAAGAGACTTTAAACGTTAAAGTGACTTGAGGGGTTAGACAGAAGGAGGAAGAGGTGTGAAGCGACAGAGTGTCAAGCTGAAACACAAGTACAACACAAAATATACAAGCTGCTGGCCAAGTTTATCCCAGCCCAAGGTCTGGCCTCATACGTTACCCAGCCGCGTGACTGAGTGTTTTATGTATCTATTTGTTCTAAATAGTGGCACACTTGACCTTGAAGGAAGATGTGTGTGCTCGCAGTTTGGCCCGAGAATCATCCCTCCTGTCAGGGACGGCAGGGATTGACCTTGAACTGCCTCCGAACAGGCGTAGCTGAATGCACAAACTCATTTTACTCCTGGGTTTGTTATCGATATGCTGTAATCGTTAACATTATGGATGATGAATAACTACTGACTGCCTCGTACCTGTGCGATATGTCACTTTGCCACGAGGACTAGAGCTAGCCAACAACCTACAGTGGCAGCGGTGGTAGTCAGGTGACTGCAGGGCCACATCACTTAGACGTGTTTTTCCTCTCAGTCACTGCGAGAACTCATCAAGTGTGCCAGCAAAGCACACAGAGGTGCTTAAAGACATAGATCACTCCCTTGCTTTACCCATTTTTTTTTAACACACATACCTCAATGTGTAACTCAGGAACACTTAACCTCTATCATCAGCTGTTCAGGCATCTGCACAGCCTTTTTCTTCTCAATAGTGGTCATTCGAAATGAGTGGATTTACTTTAGTTTCTGAAAAACACCAGAAAACATGAGAAAAGAAATTATTATAGCCTCATAACCAGAACATGGCTCGTGGATTTAGGGGTCATAACAAAAGCAAGTGAACTGGTGATGACATCTATTGTGAGAAAGGTCCAAAATAAAGATTAAATAACAAAGATGTTTTTCAGATTTGGAGGACTTACAGAGGTTACCTCTTTTTGTTGGTGGTCATGGCTTTATTTTGGTTTTCATTAAGTATACATTATATTTTCTCTGAGTTTATGTCGTGCAGTTAGTTTTGTTAGGGTGATTCAGTTCTGGTTTATTTGCTTTGATTTTGTTCTGCGTTATTGTAGTATGTCTGTTTCCTGGCCATTTTCAGTCAGTGTTTCCAAAGGACCACAGCAGCCCTCAATTACTCACTACCTCCCTCTGGTTTGTGTTTCTCCTCATGTCTAATTATGTTAAGCCTTTTGTCTTGGTCCTCTGGGCATCCTGATTCAGCATCTCTTTAGTAAAACAAAATATATTATTTTTATTTTATTATCCACCTGCATCACACAAGGACTTAAAAACTACACTGGGAACTTAAAGTTACATCTCTAATTTTTTTGTATAAAATAAATTATATTGTTTCATTTAGGTAAAGTTTAGCAAATGGGTAGAAACTAACCAATACTTTGGTTACTAGTACTGCACTAACCACAGGATTCATGAGTATTTTTCATATTTCTTCTGTTTGACTTTGGGCGTATATAAAATATGTACAGTATTATTGATTTTTGAGCAAAGGTTTGAAACTGTTCCATCCAGACAGGTTAGTTTTAACTTTTGGCAACCTTGAAGTTAGTTATTGCAAGCACCTTTAAATCCTGAAGGATTTCCACAAGATCTGTTTCAGTCAATATTGTCTCCTTAAATCGAAGTCACAATTATCCATAGCAAAATTTTATAATCTATAAAAATGCACCTACAGTATGTAATTTAAACAACCACAGAACAGGAGGCATATTCAGTTTAGTCACTTTGCTTCTAGTTTGTGCATCATGTAAGCTTCCACTGGACCACTACTGGCTTCAGAACGCTGATGACTTAACAAAGATTA